AGTAGGAGTAAGAGAGACCAAGGAGCAAAGGGAGGCAGGCGGGAGAGAGGAGGAGAGCTGCTTCAGTGTGCTTTCGTCTTTCTAAACTTCGATATTGTTTTACTCAGCTCATGACGTCTCCTCCTAGCCTGTTTCTGCAGCGTCAACAGGCGCCTTCCCCCGTCTTCCTCTTCTTGCCCTCAGCTCACCTGTAGTATCGTTCCAGCTTCCTCCTCCTTCAATCTTCTGTCGGAGCTGCAGAGCAAGTCATACTAGCGTCTCATGCCTCCTACCCCTCCATCGCTCCCTCCCCTCCTTCCCCTCTCAGCGTCAGGTCGCACTTGCTTCTGCCTCTCCTCGCAGTCTTTCTCTTCTCACCGAGCGAAAGATCAAGTCCACCGAGCTCTTGTCCGTGTCGTGAGCTCCGATTCGCAGGTGGTACAACTTGAAGGCTCCCGTGTAGTAGTTGCCGACCAGCCCTGCGCAGCCTCAGCCTCCTGCCGCGTCCTCTCTGCCACACCCGTCTTGCTCCATCTCACGTTCCACGTCAGCCCATCCTCGAAGGGCTGCAGCAGCTCTCCCGGCCCATCGTCTCCCGCGATGCGAGGAGCTCCGAAGATGGCAGCAAACTGAGAGAGTGAGGGAGGGGAGGAGCAAACGCGAGCGAGCACCTGAGAGTACTCGTCTACGTCCAGCGAGACCTGGCAGGAGCATCGTGAGCCGCTACAGCATGAAACAAGAGCTCTGGCTCACCACCATCCCTTTCCTTCCGTTCGTCCCGTCTACCTTGCCTATGTGCAAGAGATGAGAGGGGAACAAGAGAAAGGAGCGCTCACCATGCTTGTTGCTATGTTGCATCCTTGGCTCCTCAACCGCAAGAAAATTCCTCTGACATTGAAAAGGTCCCAGATACCTTGCTGCATGTGTGAGACTTGAAGATGATCTCTCCTACCTCCTCTTCTTCCCTCCCTTCCCTCCTCTTCTTCCCTCCCTTCCCTCCTCTTCTTCCCTCCCTTCCCTCCTCTTCTTCCCTCCCTTCCCTCCTCTTCTTCCCTCCCTTCCCTCCTCTTCTTCTCCCCTTCCTCCCAGCATTTCTCAACGCTCGAACAACCGGCATGTAACGGTTACAAGCATCTGCTGCAGCGGTTACGACCAACGGCTATCGAAGCCTTCGATTGAAAAACATTATGGTCTGAGGGGGGATGAGGTCAATCTTGTTGTCACGGACCTGATCCCATGTCCACCCCTTCTTCCCAGGATCACCCCACCTACCAATTTAACCTCATAAGTAGGGGTACTGAGTTTTGTCTCCTCCGAACTTTTGGCCTGACCACCTGCGACTCTCAAACTCAGACCCCACCCCCCTGGTGATGACCCCTGTGTTCCTATCCACAACCACCCCACCTTCTCTTCCTGGGTTACCCACCCTTGATCTCAAGACCTGAGCCTCCTACCCCACCCCCTAAGTACGTTTTTAATAGATATCACATGACCACCACCCCACCCCCGTTCCTCATGTCAAATGAGGGGTGGGGTGGTAAACGAGAGAGGGTCATGTGAACTAGGAATGATCGTATGCTCCACCCCCACCCTCATCAGGTTCGAAGACTACCCCACCCTATCAACACTCCAGTGACCGGCGGAAGAGAAGTCAAATATTGGACCCCACCACCTCTTAGATATGAAAAGTACCCACCCTCATGAGGTACATACCAACGGTGTTCCGCAACTTATTCCGAGTACCCCACATTGATACTACCCCACCCCCTCAGTTAGCACTAAAGCTCCTGGACATGAGGCCCCTATCCCTGGGGATTTCTGTCACAGACCGCCCCTCCCTCCTCCCCCTCCGCTCTCAGTTCTCCTCTCGCCGCCCTCGATCGCTTCCCTCCCCTCGCCCTAGCCTACAGCCCTTCATCTTTTATGGCTTGTCAGACTCTTTCCATGAACACAAGCGCGCAAACTGCATCCACAACTCCTGGAGATAGCGATGCAATGGGCGCGGGCACTTGCGATAGTGCCATCTCATCTACTACGATGAGCGTGGATCAGATTGTGCTGGCCCTGAAGAATTCAAACGTGTTCAAGACGCGCCAAGTGCATGATTCATGTTTACAGCACATGGCTAAGAAGCTAGTCATCAGGTTGGTGACCGAATGTAGTCGTGGCGATCAAATGATTTGAACTGAGCAGGGAGTTCGACGCTGGGGAGTACATCACTCATCGTGGCGATACTGAAGCCAGCATATTCTTTATCGTATCAGGATCAGTCGCATGCATGTAAGGCAGTGGACTCACCTCTCGATGTTCTGACTGTCCTGTTAGCCTTGACGACGAAGAAATCGAGAAGCTAGTTGCAGGGCAGAGCTTCGGAGAGGTAGCAATGATGACCTTGTATAAGGTAGGAATTTCATGCTCAAAGTCGCACAAGCGTTTGACAGGATTGATGCAGATGACTCAAAAAGGGGTTGCTGAGCAACAGGCAAGAGACTTGTGCAAGCGCGCAGCTGACATGCAAGTGAGCTTTCTCAAGCACGTTGCTTGACTTGCCTCACACCCTTTGCAGGCGAAAGAGAGGTCTTTGCTCTTTGAACTCAAGTTTGAGGACTCTTTGATGCTCAGTAGGATATCTCCTAATCTGTGGTGCGCGCCTTCATCTGCTCTGCTGCTTCCTATCTCTCTGACAGCCTACGCAGGTCTACCCTCGAAGATCTCGCGAAGCATCGCTCATGTAGGATATTTGACAAGGTGACGCCCCCGCGCTCATGTAAAGCTGATCTCACGTGTGTGTCTCGCAGAAGGGGTTTTCGACCGGGCAGTGAGTTTGTGACCTCTCGCTCTCGTTCGCTGCATGTACTCTAACTCAAGTCTCGCACGCTCGTAGCCATATTATTTCTTTTAATTGTCTTTTGAATGTGTATCGTTCATTTTCTGCCGTACGTGCATCAGTGTGACGATCAAGTCCGTCAGTGTGACTAACCGGGTGATTCATCCGGACTGCATGCTCTCAGGAGGCCCAACACCTATTCATCGACTGGCCCTGATGGCGACGCTGCTTCCGTGGTGTTCCGCTCAATGTCCCTGAGCTCTAGCCATCCGCCTAGCTGCTCTTGCTGGGGCTCCTCCTGCTCCTCACCGCTGCTCCTCTGATCTTCACCCTGTGAGCCCAGCTTGAAACCCACTGCCTCAAGCTTGACTTCCAGGATCCCTTGCAATTCCTCGCCGTCGCTAGGGAGAGAGCGATCTGGCTCCCATCCCTTGTCAGTGTGTCTCGGTCCTCCTCGACCTCAATGCTGAGCAGCGTGAGGTCTACTCTTCTCGCTTAGTCCAACATGGCTCGCTTGACTCTCGTGATCGATGTGTTACCTCCTCCGCACATCGCTTCCATCTCCTTCCTCGAGATCGGCCTGAGCTCAGGCTTGACTTCGACTTGATCAGCCGTGACTCTGACTCTGCCGCCTGCAGGCTTGGCCTTGTCCCGCTCAGACTTCCTTGCCTTGTAAAGCTTGACGAAGGTGTCGGCTGTCAGCTCGACTGCAAACGTCTCTCTGAGCTTGGGGTCGTCGCTGATCAGGGTCAGGTGCACCCCCTCCATCGCCTCGCTCTCTCTGAATGAGATCAAGGTCTGCTCGCAGCTGACTAGCGACGGACACGTCAAAACCCATTCCAGCTCCCTCTCATGTTGTTGCAGGACTCCTGTGCTTAGCTCCAACAGCAACACTGCCATACGTCTTCGGGCTGGGCCCCCTGCGACCCGGAGTCCGCCCAGGACTCTGCAGGAGCATGCCAGCGAGCGGCTGTACCTCTGCGGCGGCGAGAGACTGCGAGACAAGTTGAAATCGATACACCTCTGCGATCTGAGCCGTCCGGCGACTAATGAAGTTCTAAAAGCTGGCCCGGTTAGCCTCTGCCAGGCTTCCTGTCCCTCGGTCCTCCGGGGAGTCCGATCCTCCCGGAGGCTCGCTTGGCTCCGAGCTTGAAGGACCGTACCGGTCATGAGCAATGTTGATCTCTGTTGCTCCGACGAAACTTTGAAATGCTTTCAGTCCCATCGATCTGCCGCAACCTCCTTAACTCAAAGTTAAGTCAAAGATCAGTACGAGGACTACTATCCGATCAGCAGGAGAGTCGAGGCCCCGGATCAGGCATGCCAGTGCCATGATGTCGGCGGACCCTGACACACCGTCGCACAGGCCGGGCGGCCAAAAGGCGAGAAGAGAAAAGACAGCGAGAACCGAGACTCTCTAGACCGTACTGAGTCTACTATGAGTCCGATCCTAGCTCTCTCAACGGCCAGTGGCGCCGCCCGGCGTACGGTGGCATCGGCCCGCCGGGCCGCCCGGCGGCGCTCCGGCCGGCCCGGAACTGAAAACAAGCAAACAATTGAGTAAAAATTGAGGCGCCTGCTCGCCGATTCAAATTTCAACGCCATGGAGGAAGTCGGACAGCAGGTGAAGGAGACGAAGAGGGGGAGAAGGATGGAGGCGAGGAGGAGCTGAGAGCAGATCTTGGTGCTAGAGGACTGCTCGATACCATCTCGTTGCTTTCACGCCGCGTTCTTATCTTGATGCTTCAGGTTGGATTGAGTTTGCTCTCGTTTGTCGGAACAGCTCTCACTGGAGTTGCTATGCGAAGACTCTTCAGTCGCCCGATGTGAGGGAGGAGCGAGACCTGCGCGGAACTGAAAGGCTGGCAGGTTGACTGCCAAGTCCGACGACCAACAGCATGTGAGGAGCGAAGAGCTGCAGGAGAACCGTGACGTTCAAGTGAGCGATGCACAGCCGCGGGAGGTGGTTGAAGCAGAAGACAAGCATGCCGACGTCCCTCCTGCTGCAGCAAACCATGAGAAGGAGCACGAAACGAGAGCGAAGGAAGCAATCCAGCAGGAACAGGACCATAATCCATCCGAGACAGCCGTGACGCGCAAGTCCCTCAGGTATGACCTGCATCAAGGAGTCAATTGTTACCCAGTTCTGACCCTGGTGAGAGCAGGAGGACGAGGCGAGCTGAGCTCGAAGACAAGGAGGCCATCAAGATGCTCATTGAGTCAGTGGATCTAGAGGAGGAGGAGAAAGTCAGTCAGACTCCGAGAGCTTCCAAGCGGGTGAAGTCAACGAGGAGGAAGGCCAAGGAGTCCGAGAAGAGAGCAGCGACGCCGGATGGCACAGACGATCAGCCGCTCGAGGTCGAAGAGCTCCGTCTGCCATCTCTCTCACGCTGCTGTCAGGAGGAGCAGGAGGAGCAGGAACAAGCTCCGAGAAGCTGCCAGCTGCTCGACCGGTTACCTTCTTCTCTGGTCACAAGGATCTGAGCCGCCCGCAGGTCGCTCGACGGGCTCACGAAGGAGAAGCATCGCCTCGCCCTCCTCGCCTGCTCCACCGTCACCGTCAAGACTCTTCGCAACGTCCTGTGTGGTCGCCTGCTGACGCCCATGGGCGAGAGGTCCTGCATCTCCTCCTACTCCCCTCGAGGCTCAAGTGAGACTGACGGATGTTTCAGCCGGGAGGAGCTGGTGGAAGAATACCTGTCGTCGATGCATCCCGACAAGGAGGCAGCGGACTCGAAGAAGCGAAAGTCTCGACCCGTGGCCTCCGACAGCCAAGAGGAGCTCGTGGCCCCACGCAGTGCGAGGAAGCGAAGACTTGCTGCCTCCTCTCCTCACAGCGTCCGCGCCAGGACCCCCAGCAAGACCCCAGCAAAGACTCCGAGGGAGAAGAAGGCGAAGGTCAGCCCACCCGCGACGAGGCTGACGGAGGGTGAGGAGGTCGAGCTGGACAAGTGCAGGTTCCGGTAAGCCCAGGAGGCAGGGGGAGGGCAAAAGCAGGCGAGCTCACGTGCTGAGCAGAATCGACGAAGAGCTGGCGACCGGTGCGGATTCGATCGTGTACAGGGGCACGTGCGTGGGAGGAAGACACGAGGGTCGAGCAGTGGCAATCAAGATGCAGCCGAGGCAGAGGAAGACCATCTTTCAAATCACCACAGAGCATCACGTGCTCACCAAGCTCAAGCAGGTGATCGCCTTCCCTCCCTCCTCTTCCTAACTTGTGCTCTTCAGAAACGAATCGCCTCCCTTCACATCCAAGAGCCGCTGGCCTATGGCTGCCATGAGGACCGGTGCTACATCCTCGTCACGGGCATGCTGGTATCGCTCTCCTCGCCTCCTCCCCCTTTGAGGCCCTGCAGGGCCCCAACATGCTCTCGCTGCTCCCCGCGTCGAAGAGAATGCCGGCGAGGCAGGTGCTGCTGCTGGCCTACCAGGGGCTGGGGCTGCTGGAGGAGCTGCATGCGGCCATGTACGTGCACCGAGACATCAAGGTGAGAGGAGGAGGAGGAGGAGGAGGAGGAGCGAGTGACTTGATAAGCCCGAGAACCTCGTACTTGGAGGCGAGGGACTGGAGAATCAGCTTCACCTCATCGACTTCGGTACAGCTGAGGCGCTGGTGGACCTCGCGGGGAGGCGAAGGTTGCAGGCACAGGTAGGAGGAGAGCGAAGGGAGAGGAGGGGGGGAGGGACGCGCTGAGGAGGACGTGCAGGCAGCGGAAGGGACTCCGGCCTACATGGCGACGACGGTGCACAAGAAGGAGCCGCTGAGCAAGCGAGACGACGTGGAGGCACTGCTGTGGACGCTGCTGCGGCTGTACCTGGGGGAGCTGCCGTGGGAAAGGCTGGGAGGGAAGCAGCAGGGGGAGGTGCTGCGGATGAAGAGCAAGTGCCTTGAGGACGTGGGGGCTGGCGGAGGGCTGGAGGGGAACATGCGAGAGTTCTTCGAGAAGCTGGCGGAGATGATCGCAGAGCTGAAGGGGCCGGAGGGTGAGCCAGACTACAACAAGATGAAGAAGCTGGCGGCAAGGACCTGGAGCAAGGTGAGGCAGAGGAGGGGGTGAGGCAGAGGAGGGGGGGAGGCAGAGGAGGGGGGGAGGCAGAGGAGAGGGCGAGGCAGAGGAGGAGGTTGGTTTAGTTTTTGTTGACTTACACACAGGAAATGCCCAAGAAAGGGCCAAGCATCGACAAGGCCAGCTGGATATGAAAGAAATGTTGAGAATGTGAGTAGGACATTGAAACGTATTAAGATAACATCTCAAGTATGTTTACATCTCAAGTATCTTTTAAGATTATATCTCAAGCATCTTGCGAGCGCAAATCTTCTTCTGCTACCTCCAGCTGGCCTTGTCGATGCTCATCGCTCCCCTGCCAGGCATCTCCTGCGATGATGTCAACTGACACTCCTGGCCTCACCCCCCTCCTCTGCCTCCCTCCCCT